CAAGAGATCACGTATGGTAAATCTGGGAGGTACCCAAAAAGTCGACTTTTTGGGTACCTGCTGTGGTGGTGATGGGTCTGAACTCTTAGGCAATGATATTTTGCGTTTGTGCTCCTCGCAGTGGGCGCAGCGAAACAGCGGCTCTTTAGCCTGGCATTCATCACAGACCCTCTTCTCTGTATGTTGGAGTGTCTTTGCCGAAAGCCGGGAGAAGGCTGCTTTGCTCCGTTCTTCTCCACACTGGGTGCAACGAAAGAGCGGCTCTTTGGCACGGCAGTCGTCACACACCCTCCTCTCTGTATGACTGCATGTCTTGGCTGAGAGCCTGGAGAAGGCCGCTTTGCTCTTTTCCTCCTCACACTGGGTGCAACGAAAGAGCGGCTCTTTGGCGCGGCAGTCGTCACACTATCCTCTTCTTCCTATGACTGAATGTCTTGGCTGAGAGCCTGGAGAAGGCCGCTTTGCTCTTTTCCTCCTCACACTGGGTGCAACGAAAGAGCGGCTCTTTGGCACGGCAGTCGTCGCAAACCCGCTTGTCTGTATGATCCCATGTGTTGGCGGAGAGCCTGGAGAAGGCCGCTAGGCTCTTTTTCCGCCCCACAGTCGGTGCAACGAAGGAGGAAGGCTTTCTTGTATTCAGCGCGACAAGCATCGCACTCCCTTCGCTGTATGCGTCGCTGCAGATTGGGGGTGAGTTGGAAGGCCTCCCGCTGTTTCAGCAGAGAGCAGCGCCCGCACTTGTAGTGGAAACCGCGCGACGCACAGTTCTGGCAACAAGCGTGCGCGAGGACCTCTGCCTGAGAGCTTTTCGTCTGAAGATACCACTTGCCGCAGGCTTGGCACATACGCTGGCCTTCTTGTTGTGGGCATCTGCGCGGCTTACTGCCGCAGTACCTCTCGCAGAACACCGTGGCACTTGAAGACACCGCGCGCACCGCCGCGCGTCCCCAAGCAGCAACTGTGACATGGAAAAGTGGCTGGCCGTGCGGGGACCACAGCCGCAACAGCGAAGTTCCGCATCTGGCGACGGCTGTGTTGTGTGGGGAGCTGGCTGCACAGGTGTGGTTTCTTGTGTTGGGACTGTGTGGCTGGCATGGTCTCGTCTCCTTTCCTCCTGGACACATGCATCGCAACGACGACGTCGTGTCATTCGCAGGGTCGTGGGAGCATACCAGTCTCGTTGATGGCTGAAGTGATGCAGTGGCTTCGCCAACGTGCAGCGCCCGCACACCCACAGCGTGCCATGTTTCTTCTGGCAGGCAGCGCACCACGCGTGTTGCGAGTTTCCCGGGGATAGGAATTCCTTGCCACACGAGCGGCATATGGAGTACCCTGCGCACCACAAACACCGGGAAGTTCCCGGCGGGATTGCGACTGTGCAAGTGGGGCACCGTCTGCAATTGCTGCACGCTGTACACTGCCGCTGGGGGCCTTTCAAGAGCTCACGGATGGTAAACTCAGTGGCTGGACAGAGGCCGCAGGTGGCACACACAACTTGGGGGCTGTCCTTCTCGCAGCGCTGCGGACGCCCGCGGAGTTTCTCGGCAACCTGCTCCCACGCAATCGCCTCCCCACGCAATCGCTTCAGCAACAATTCGGGCCCGACCTGTCCACCTCCGCAGAACACGTGTCTGGGGAACTTGCGAAAAATCCACACATCCTGGCTGCGGCGAACACGAGAGAGGGATACATAGGCTCCTTGCTTGGACATGTTCCCGGAGACGTTGATGTCGGTAATAGCCTTCGACCAGTTGCCGCCTTGCGCGGCGGCCGTGCAGGCGTATGCCGGTAACAACGGCAGTTGGCAGCGAGTGAGTTGGGAACTTCTCTTCCTTCCTTTGTCGAGCCGCCATCCAGCCTTCAGTGGCTTCACCGGGTACACTCCAGGTGGCAAGCCCGGCAGCTCCCACGCGGCGTCAGCAATGCGCACCAGGACATACTCCACCATTCCCTGTAGCATGACCTCGGCGCGTGCGGGGTCTGTTGCTCGTGGAGGGGCCCTTCGGGTATCTCGACGGAAGTACGTCTAATCGTGTTGAGGGGTGAGTCTAAACTAAGGCTTTTCCAGCATTCTCCTAGGAATGCTCTAGGCTTTGTCTAGATTTTGTTACGTTTTCGGCTGGATGCTTTTCCAAGAATGTTCTAGCATTTCCTCTTGTTTTTAGGTTCCCAGATTTCCCCTAAAATTTGTTAACCTTTTGTTAACCTATTTTACCAGTGTCCGGGCTTTGTCTAGGTGCCCAAAAAGTCGACTTTTTGGGTACCTGCTTTGGTGGTGACGGGAGTAAACTCTTGGGCAATGATATCCTTTATGGGGAGAAGGGTTCAGCATCACGGGCTTCATGCAAGAGATGGCGTCCGATGGTAAATCTAGGAGGTACCCAAAAAGTCGACTTTTTGGGTATCTGCTTTGGTGGTGATGGGTTGGGTCTAAACTCAGGTGTCAGGCAAGCGCTACGGCCGAGGCCACTACCTCGTCTGCGTTTCGTCCGGTGGCAGCTCAGGAACCTCTGCGTCTTTGCTCGGTAGCGCGGTCTCCTCTTGTGAGACTTTCCAGCCAACCACATGGCACAAGCACCCACGGAGCAAGAGCTTTGGTCGATCAATATGATCACTCAAGAGCATAGGCATGCCCAGAGCTAAGGGCACCAGCCCGGGCAGATCTCCACGCTCGCGATCGTGTCGCTGCAGAAATTCGACCTTTCTCTGCGCTAAATGGGGGTCTGTTGCCAGAAGTTCCAACGGTATCTGATCTTGTGCAAAGTTCCAGAGCAGCTGCAGTCCGCGCTTGGCGGCGAAGGCTCGTGCACGGTGCTTGTTAATCTCTGCGCGAACGTCGTTGTTGGGGACAATGACTCGGGTGAACTCATGCTCATCGGACTCCAATGTTCGCGCTCCTACACAAAATTGCACTTCTTCCCGTGTGAGTATCTACAACTTGCGCGTCCTGGGCAACGCCCTGGACTCAACTCCAGTGTTGCTTCTGTCCGTGCTTCTACTTCTCGTGTGGGTCCGGTCGCGTGGTCACCGCAACACGCTTACCGTTGGTTGTGCAGGCTATAGGAAACGCATAACACAGACACCGGCTGCCTCTCACCCGACGACTTGGGTGATCCTGCATTTTGCTCCAGGGGTGCTCCAGGAAACCCTACCCTCCCCACATCCAGGGCAACGTCCTTCCTCCCACCGTGGAACCACCCGCTTCCACACCCTTCCGTCCCCCCCGGCCTACCGCACTGCAGACATTCCGCCACGCGCGCGTGCCGCCCGCATGTACATGGCTACGGTCTCTTCCCTCGCTGGCGCGAGAACCTCGCCACCACCTGCCCAAGCTTCCGTTTGCGCTGCTCCGTCCTAGAACCAACACGCCACATGGCGCGGACACGGGCGCCTGACAGGCATGCGAAAATCTTACCAGAGCCTTTCACGTTACCACGGGCACTGGCCGGACCTCGTCCAGCCGTCCAGCGCAAAATCTAAACAAAGCCTAGAGCATTCCTAGGAAAATTCCAGGGCATTTGCCGGGAACACTAGAATCAAATAGGTTAACAATAGATTAATCAATTTTTGGGGAAATCTGGGAACCTAAACACAAGAGGAAGTCCTAGCAAATTCTACAACAATGGAAGAAAATAGGTTCGCAATTTTCTACGCTTACCTGGGAAATCCTACAACTCCCTTTTACAACAAACCCCGGGTCCGGAAAGGTAAAAAAGTAAGGTCTGAGTCTAAGTCTAAGGCTAAGGCTAAGGCTATGGCTAAGGCTAGGCAAGGCTAAGGCTAAGGCTTAAGGCTAAGGCTAACATAGAGCAAGGCTAGCGCTAAGGTTCTATCCCTTGGGGGTCGGCGGCTGCAGGCGGTAGCCTGGTAAATAGAAGCACTATGAAACATCTTTGATGTTCCTGACAAATATGAGAAAAGTGGGGCCTGACGGATGAGACATGAGAAATGAATATGTTTTTGTCAGACCTAAACCAACCACGCAAGGTTGGCTGACCTAGTTCGCGGATAAAGGGCACAACAAATCAGTTGCCTCAGTAGCCTTAATGTATATATAAAGTTTTGAGCATGCTTAGGCTTGCTACGGAAAACAGCCTCAGGAAGTAGAAAAGCGTGGAGAGTCTATGCAACCGGCTGAGTACATCAGCAGCCGGATTGATGCACTTGCTGCAAACGCTATCAGGCATCAAGCATGCGTCCATTGCACGTCTGCACATTCACCCGCAGGTGTTTGATGTTGACTGAGCTGTCCAAAACAAAGCTGGTGATCCGGAGTTCCATCTGTAGTAGTGTGAATGCATGTGGCATGTCTATATAGGTCTTGTGATGGTCGGTTGCCTTGGATTCCCTAAAAACCTTCAAAACGGTACTGTGGAACAAGGGATCCACTGGGATTCACCTGCGTTAGGCATGGCGTTAGCATGGCGTCAATGAAATGTGCATTCCTTGGCAAAAGAGCGCCGTGCAGCACCGCGCAGGATCCTCGATTCGTTCGTTTCGTTCGTCCAATTCGTCCAAGATGCAATCAGAGAGAAGTCGATTTGCCTTGCAACCAAATGCGACGGAGCAACGAAGCAAAGAGTCGTGCAACTAAGCAGCGCAAGCCACGAAGCTGTGTAAGCAGCTTACCAGTGTGATCAATGCTGGCTCCAACTGGCCTTATCTCCTCCAATTTCATCCATTGCCAAGCTTGTTTTCACATCGGCAAAGATTTCCTAAGACAGAAGGATGAAGTAGGAAACAAGGAAACGCAAGCTGATCAAACCTTTCAAAAGGCGTGCAAGGCTTTTTGGACCAAAATTTATCTGAGAATCTGGGCGGTCCGGTCGTGACATTATATCCCCGCGCCGGAAAGCGTATTCCTGAAGGCTGGACGCAAAAAAAAGTGAGAATCGTTCAAGCAATGAAGCTTTGCAAAACAAATGGTTGGACCAGCCACAGTCCTGCCAGGTGTTCTTGTTCTCATTCCGTTTAACTGCAAGTACTTCGAAGCCTTGTGGAACCTGCAAAGCTGCGAAGTAAAGTTAGTTGTATATGTATAGTTATATAACTCTTTCTATCTTGTCGCCATCACTACTAGGTTGGAGGCCATTGCTATTAGGTTGGAAACAAACTCAGTCTAGGTTTAGGGTTGGCAATGTGTTCGTCCTTGGGATTGGTCGGGTTGTGCTTGGCCCGGTCTTTCGTGTAGGCTTTCCTGGGAGATATCATGGTTTGCCCAAATCGCCAAAAATGCCAAACCCTAAAGAAGACCCTCTTGCTCTTGTGAGATCTTCTTAGGCTGAGCTCCAGGCCTGTATGTCTTGTCTAGCAGTTTCTGAAATTCTTCCACTGCTGTCTTCCCTATCGTTCTCAAGTGTTCAAGAGATGATGGGCTCAAATTCAGATATTATTCATGCGAAAATATGATTCTCATGGACAAGGACAAGGAATAGTCGGTCTGCCACAAAAGCACTGTTCCTGGCAGCGAAATCAGCTCATTGAAATCACCATCATGGTGACTCCAATACGGCGGAAACCTCAGCATCATCAGCTCTGTGACAAAGCTCCACACAGAGCATCTCAAAGCATTGCAATTCATGTTGTCAAGGAATCCCACGGAACTTCTCCAGTTGTTGCTTTCGCCACGTGCAGGCCTCTCTTGTGCTTGCACTCCTGAAAATTGTTGTATGAACTCTTGAATTGATAGATTGATAGCATCACCAGCTGACAACTACGCAAACACGTATGACCAAGCTCTGCCACTCCTTGCATTTCTTGCCATGGTCGTCCTCCTCAAATTGTCATACCCCTACATTTGCAAAATGATTCTGTTGCCAGGAACAGCCTAGACCTAGACTATTGCAACAGGATTGGAATATCTCTTCTTGACATATCAGGGAATCGAGCAGCAGATTGTACTAAGGTCCCGGCGTCTTTGCCACCATAGGCTTCACACGGACAACCTATTACACTGCAAGGTGATGATGCCATCATGAGGCTGGCGGACCTCAAGTTGCACGTGCAGAACGTTTAGATTTATGCAAGCATGCAATGTCACGCTCTGCAACAACCACCGAGTCCGATATTCTCTCCAATTCTGGACAAATGACTCGTCAGAAAAAAGAATAGAAAAACTGAGTATGTTGCTTGCCCAGCATTTTGGCGACGCCTTTTACGATGTCAAAACCAGGCAATGAAAGCACAATGCATGTGGATCAAATTGGGTTCCTAGGAGCCCCGGCCCAGTTCCAAGCCAAGTCGCGGCCCGGCCCATGATGCAAACTCGCCAAAGTTCACCACTCCATTGCCATCCTGGGGATGCAAAGGCTCGTGGCGGCATGAATCTCACATTGGTACAGCTCAGTATAACTTGTCAGTCTGAAAACTGATCTTAACCGTGCTTGCCTCATCCAAGTGGTTCCAGGCCTTCAAGTGACAAGGACCACAATGACAGCCTACGAGCTGATGGAGCTCTTCTTGTCCTTTGCCTCATCAGTGATACTTCCCAGTACATCGCCACAAGCCCTGCCAATGAGAGACAAAATACTTGCACATCGCATCACATCACATGAATAGCATTCCACTGCCAGCCTCTTGATCATGGCCAGAGACTGCTCAAGTTCCTTCCTTGACAACTTCCCCGATCCATCTGCATCGCTCCAATCCTTGGCTCTCTCTATTCTTGATGCTTTCTCCAACGCTTGAAATGTTGCAATAAGTAGACACCAGCAAGAGCAACTGTTCTTGGGACCTTACAAAAATTGTCCTCAATGTTAATGGATCAGGCTGAACGTCCTGCGGAAAACCAGAACATAGAAAAGTCCAAGAAAAGAGAAAGCCATTCAAGCTAAGATACAACAGAAGCAGAAGATGCTGTCCTTCGTCATTGAGCAGGCAATGGCATAGTCCTCGCAAGCTTTCTGTGCACGTGAGACTCTCAAGAGACAGCTTAAGACTGACAGCTTGGCTGCCTGACTCCCCTTCACCAGAAATTCAGAAAGAACTTGAAGGAACTGCTGAAAAGGGGCAAAGACCCGAAGGGACAGAACAAAGCTCAAAGAGACTCATTTTCCCTTTCACCTTGGTTTTCACAGATTTGGCCTCTTTCCAGCCATCGTCATCATCCAGCTTCAAGCTGGCAAGCTCCTGTTCACGCTCCTGGATTGCCCTTTGGAGAGTTCTTTCATCTGCATCTTGTAGTTGAGAGAAATGAATGGCACGAGCTGCAAGAACTTCAGCTTCCAACTCTTTCAGGCGCATTATCAGGCGCTCATGAGCTTCTCTGGTGGCGGCGGTCAAGCCTGCACTGGCATCCTTCTGCTCAAACTCCCTCACCACACCGCTGAGGGAATGAAACACTTCGAGCCTCTGCCACTTCGTGATGCTATTGCTCTCAACTGGCTTGTGCCCTTTGGCGCATGCCAATGTGATGTGAGGAACTTGGTTAACGGATGGGCAACCAATAACACCCACTGCAACAACACCCTTTGTCCTCCCAATCGACACAACTTTCACAGAACGTCTATCCTTGGGTTTCAGCTGGCGGATCAATGCTTGGAGATCCTCTGACAGCTTGTTCCCGTTGGACCGTGCATCTGCAAGGCTTCCTAAACAAATGGTCATGTGATGAGCATAGATTGTCCAACCATCTGGGATAAACTCCGTGAAAGTCTCCTGTAGCTCCTGGCAACTACTGCAATCAAGCTCAAGAGCTGAAAACACTGGTGACGAAGACGGGCTTTTCTTGGGACTGGAGGGATTGTCACTCGGACTGGAAGGACTTGAAGCCCGCCCCGTCGTTTCCGGTGGCCTGAAAACGCACAGCTCTTCTGATCCATCCGGAAGCTGCAACATCTGACATTCCAGGCCAAGCGCGGTAGAAGTCCTACGGACTGTCTCGCACTTAGCAGCTGTCATTTGCTGGCTGCTCGCAGGAAAGGACATAAACTCCTCCGATAACTTCGAAAAGTCGCGCAGCCTTTCGCTGACCTCATTACTCCATTCCTCTCTAGATTCTCCTTTTGTCCTAAGCTTTAAAGACTCATCATATCCTAGCTTGGTCAAGTCTGACCAGGATTCTTCTAGAGAAACCTCTGTTTGGCGCTTGTACATTTCAACGAAGCCTCGGAGAGAGAGTCCACCACCGCTGGCGCCGTCAAGCCACTCAAACATGGATTTCATCTCGGAGACCTCATCTGGCGTAAACTCTTTGGAATCTTTGTTGGCGGACCGGCTGAAGGCCTGCAGTTCTTCCTCCGACAGCATATGGTCGCCATCAGAGTCAAAGCGAGAAAATATCTCCACTAAGCACTGCTTGAAAGGGCTTGTCAACTGGCCACCTTCCATCAAACATGCTTTAGGAGGGCGTGTTGATGCACCAGTACGGTCGGGATGTGCTGTTGCCTCTCCTTTTGCGGCAGACTTTTTCTTACCCATAGCTCGCAGTGCGCATAAACCTCTATTAGCTAGTTTTGCTATGCAGTCTTTTGTCGTTTATGCATCATTTTTGTGATGATGTTATTTTTTTGGTTGTCATGTTTGTTTCATTTTGCCGGTATGTCGGTGTTTTCTTTTGCATGCCTTTGGCATTTTTTCCTTGTGTTTTGGAGCCGATGAATCTTGATACTTCCCTGCTCAACCCTACAGGGCCAAAAATACTGCGGCAGGTCTGTGACGCTGAGACTCTTTGGTGCTACTTTGGTTACTGCCAAATGCCACCGCCACGAAAGCAACAAGACGTCCTCGTCTAAAGGGTGAGCTACATCCTCAGCAAACAAGTGACGACGAGTGAATCTTGCTGGGAACGATTTCAAGACGTGACTAGCTGCTTTCATAGGAACATTCTAGGACAGTCCTTCAGATGCGCATCAGAGCGGTCCCTGCACTTGGCTCCTTTTGTGCATGCCTCAAGCTGAGCTATATAACTGGACTGAGAGTCAGCATGAGCCAGTTGAGCAATATGAAAAAACTTCACGCTGCCCCAAGCGGCCTTGCGAGAGCTGGTTGGCGCAGGTGCAGCGCCACCACAGGTTGGATCATGAATTCCAATTCCCTGATGTGCTTCAGTGGCACAAAGAAGCTCACACTGTGGCCGGCTGCATTCACTTTTTGGGATTTTTTGTCTTCTCCCGCTGTCACAGAAGCATGTTCCTTGTTGTTGTCTTGCATCATTGTTTTCTGTTTCTGGTATGTTGTACCTGTTCCAAATTTTGCGAGGTGGATCTGCATAGAGCAGCCAATCTAATGAAATAACAACCTCTTCTTCAAACTGGACAACCACAGCCAACATCAATCATCATAGCTAAATCCACAACCCGCAGCACATCATCTTTGCAGCACGCTCCATAACCCTTGCATTCCATTTTAAAGTTAGGATATGCTATCGACAAGGGTCATGGCATGGTGTCGCTAAAAAGTCTGAAGACATCACTACAGTTAAGGTCAGCCAACATAAAGCAAGTGAGGAAAAGGTCCTGCTTCCCTTCCAATTGTGATGAAAAGGACGAGCATAAAGCCAGCCAGCCCGGATTAGCCAAAGCAAACACAGGCCAGAGGCTGAGAAAATGTTGGTGGATGTGTTTTTCAACTGCACGCTGCCTGAAAGGAGGTGGGCCACGACCTATATACGGCACTGAAGCCTATGTAAGAACGGAATGGGATTCTGTACGTCAGCGACAACACTGGAATGGTACAGAATGACCACTCGGCGCACAATGTCAATTCTTGCAACTCCAAATCTCATGCCGGTGACTATCAACTTATATCGTCTTGGCCTTGTCCTTCTGGCGCAAGTAAAAGGACTTTGTGGAATTGCTGCGGTGTCATCGGACCTGCTTTGCCCGGACCTCGCTGCATCGGCCTTGCTAGCCATACTCCGATGTCTGACGAGTGTCTGGTTGTCTGACGTTGCTGATTGAATGCAACTTCTGCTCAGCAAAAGCTTCGCAGAGGTTTACGGTGCTGCAGTGCTGTTGAAGAGCCTCTCCGGCTCATCTTCTTATCTTGCATGTTCTTGCCAACTATGGCAATTTGCAAGCCGAAGGATCCAAACAAATGTGATGTTGAACGTTTTCAGAGTTGACGAAGCTGATGGAAGGTGCTCCGCATGCTGCGAAAGGTTCTGAACCTGGATGGAGCTATGATAATTGAACCTTTGCTTCCATATTATCAACATCCTGCTGATTTGAAGGTACTGTCCAGTGTTCATGTCAATATCTAAAGGCCAAAGTATCTAGTGTCTTTGCACAATCTGCCGTAGGCAAGTGCTGCAAGCTACTTTGTCAAGCTGGGCCTTGTTCATGGCACAGGTCCTGGCTTCAAGAGCAGCTTCAAATTTCTACTTGTGCGTGGAAACCACATTCATAAACTAGTAAACGGAAAAGCGCCTGATATGTTCATTGTCAATGATTCAATGATGAGATGGTGGCTGATGTGTGGATGGCACGAATGATTTCCTATATAAAATGTGCATCAAGAAAACCAGCCGATAAACTAAATTGTTGGGAACAAAACGCCCGGCCTGCAACATGTGTCGAATTTGTTCCCTCTTTTGGTTTCACCAGGCTGTACCGGCCTAGGTCATCAATTGGATCCCCCTCTCTCAAGTCAAACAGGTGCACAAGGCAGCGGCTTGCCACAAGCATATTTGCAAAGGCGAGCCTCGGATACGAATTCGGCATTTGCACCTTTGCAAATGTTTATGTTATATACATGGTCTCATGATGAGCCCAAGAAAATCCCCCACAGTTGGGCATCAAAACCCGCCTACTACGTAAGCATTGGCACCATTGCAAGTTCACCAACTCGTCTCGTGTCTTTGCCAGACAACACTGCCTTCCAAAACGTGAGCCTTTTCAGTGTGCCATACGAGCACACTAACACGGCAATATGTTGGCATAGCATATGTCATGGGCCCATATATGTAAAGCAAGGCAAAGGCACTACAAGCAAGAACCAGAAAACACGCTCGGGCGCCCGCTCTGGAGTGTGTGTGCCAGCCGGTCAGCATGACGGCATGACCCGGCTTCAGCATCTCATCGTGACAACATGCCAGCATGTGAGGGTGACCCATGCCAGCGCGCCAGCATGGCAACATGTCAGCGTGACACTACACAAGGATATCAGCGCGACAACACGAATCATGTCATCGTATCCGCATGGCCTCAGTGACTCAGAGAGGCAGCAAGTCTGCAAATTGCTCCGGAACTCGCCCGAACTTCCACCATAGCTCCAGAAGCTTCAGAATCTCCTCTGCAACCTCCTCCAGAACCTGCTCCGGCACCTTCTCCCCAACTTGCTCCAGAACCTGCTCCGGGCCTCCCTCCCGAACCTCCTCCGGAACTTCCTGTGGAACCTGCTTCGGGACAAGCTCCGATCTGCTCCGAATTCTTCACTATAGCTGAAGAGCCCTAACCTTCGCTGTCGGGGAAAAAGTAGTCTTGTGATTGCTGTAAACATTGTTCGAGCACTGGTTTAAAGCAATCTTAAGTGCAAGTGAGGTGCATTTGTATCAAAGTCTCCATCCGGCTCAGTCTCAGTCAAGCTGGATATAGACGTGAATGGCAGCAACAAGAGTGTTGAGGTCCAACAGCAGTCATGAAAAACTGCAGTGCTGTATAATCTGAGGTAGCTTATAGTAGAACTTCCACTGGGTGCCAGACATCACTTTCAACTCTGCCCCAAACAACTGTCAGAAACAAAGCCATGGGCCATAGTCACATGTTGTGCTCAGTTCAAGTTCAAATCCATGATGACAACCTCAAGGAGGGAACTGGCCTTCATCATTTTCAACCGCCTGCGTACTTTGGCAGTCCTGAAAGAATCAAATGTGCAAAAATCCCTCGTGTATACCAACTGAGAAAAGGCTGGAAAACTCACACAGCATCTCTAACGCCACTATTTTACCGAGCCACGCCCATCGCGTCCCAGTCTCACTTGTACACCTGCGATACCGCTTGAGCCCAAATTGCCAGATTCATGGCACCCAAGCATTGTAAATTCCAACAAGCTATGTTTCACTAGCCGTCAAGCTCCACTGGAAAAAGCAAAGGCGGATTTTCGTTCAAATGGCCATCCAATCCGTTGGAGAACAAACTATTGCTGAGCATATTGCTCATCTTCAGAGAATAAGTCTGAGTGCCTAGCTACTGTCCTAGCTACTGGGAACGGAGATGCTGACAGATTCGCCAGACATCTGAGTTTGCGAAGCCCTGCTACCATTGCGGGCTGCACAAAATAGTCTACGTAGTTTTAAGACCTTGTAATCTTGGTACTTCTTGGGCAAACAAGTGATGGTCGCCATGATGCTCAAAAAGCCTTCCTCCCAAACTGGGTGGTGGCAGGACTGTCCTCTAAATGTTGTTTTTTCCCAGTCCGTATCACCGGGATGTCAGAAATTTTGGCAACCTGGAGCTTTTGAGACACTGTCCGGCGACGTAGCCAGTTAAGTTGCAAACCAGTCCTTGCAAGGGCACCCAATTGAGAAGGAAGCTGCGATGCGAAAACGCAAACTGTCAAAGATTGACATAATCACTTGAAGTCTCCGTGTGAACTGCAAACTGTTGGTCTGAGCCTCGAAGGCACTGGACACATTCATTAGCCTGAAGTATTTTCGCCTCAAGTCCACGTCAGAGCCAACGCTAAAAGGACTTCAGAATTCTGGCGTTTCGCCTCCACATGGCCTAGCACATGCCATACTCCCAAGGTCCTGCACAGCGGCCGGAATCTGTCCACAAACAGCCGCCCCATGTTCCACATGGTTTCAGTTCTGCCCAGATTAGGTCCTGGTGCAGTGAGGCTGGTAATGTGATGGTACCTGAAAGCACAAACACAGAAGCAACATGAAGAGACTTGAAGCAACTTGTTATTCTGTTCGTGTTTGATTCTGCCAGGAATTGGAGATGCGGGGCACGAGTGGGCCCCGCCCATGTGTCGAGCCTCCGGTGCTTCATGGTTATCCAAGGATGCACTCATCTGACTCACTGTTCATTGACAACGAAAGGCTTGAAACCGACGAGTCTGTATTTGGAAGGCCAAGTGCCCCCTCCTTCGGTTCTGGTTCGTCTTTGAACGTAAACGAAGCCACGAGCGACACCTCATTGCGATCAAACAGAATGACAAACACGACAATGTGATGAACTTCAACGAGCTAAATGGTGACAAATCATAGGCTCAGCACATGATCAGATGGGCGGTTGCTTGAAGGGAGTGCGTGTTCCTGCGCTCAATCTTGTGCAGCTGATTTGACAAGAGGCAGGTGCCTCACTCCTTAGATCTCCTTAGAATTTTCAGCTGGATCGGAAAATTCAAATCGTGTGATGAGTCCGTGTTTAAATACACCCGTTGTTCAAGCTCTTGAGTCTCTTGAGTCTCAAAGTACCTCTGGTCCTTTCTTATCTGGACGCATGAAGCTGTCCTTCCTCAGCTCGCTTTCTTCATCCACCTGTGTAATTGCCACCACCTGGAGCACCTGATCTCAAAACTAGCCCAATGTGCAGATGAACATGATAGAGAAAGACCCCCATTGCCTCTGGTGAAAACCAAATGTAGTCAAGGGTGCCCTTGAAGTCCTGTGCTCACTGTGCTCAGCTTTCAGCAACGCTCACAATTACCAAGGCGGCGTTAAAACCAGATCGAGAGCACATGTTCATCGAGAGCCAAACCGAGTTGATAGCATGCATGGTGCTCTGGCAGCAGGTTGGTCCTCTGTGTAGTTTGTGAATTTTGCCTCATGACCTGAGCAGAGTGCCCGTGTAAGCTAGTCAATCCCACTGAATTGCCGGGCACTTGGCCAGTGCAAGTGGCATAGGCAGTAGACAACTTTAGGTTGTGGTGCATGTGCATTCTGAACCTCAAAGCGAGCAAAAAGAACGTGTGTTCCACACGTTTTCGGGTCACACTCTCTTGCAAATGCAAAGGTATATGGCTACCGGCTACCACAAAGCAAACGATAACTTGAAAACAACTACGGTCACAAGCACGCCTGCTGAGCAATCCTGATGGATCATGTCGAAGATCCTCCCACGAGAAACCGTTTAGGACAGCAAGGGTTCTTGCCTCTACAACGGACTCGGCATTTAAGAAGCCAGTTGGTACCTTGAAAGCAGAGTCCTCGTGAGCCCCATTGATCATGCCCTTCTTGAGGTATTCATAGACCTCTCCATCTTTGCCAAAACGCAAGGTAAGGACTGCTAAACTCTGCAACCCTTCGGAGAGAGAAATGGTGACCACATCGCAACAGCGCTGTTCAGACAGAGTTCAGAGCTTTATCGTGCTTCACGTGTTATAGGTCCCTCACAGCTGAATCAGGAGTGGAATTAAAGTCACCCGCAAGGAGCAGAGGCCTTGACACCATTTGAACTCGAGAAATCCTTGAAACAACTTGTTCTGCATGCGTCATGCGCCAGGGCTAGAGCCAATGATTCCAGCCCAAATGCTTGAGGGAATTCACCAGCAAGTAGGACTGCGGTCAATCAAAGATGTGTTCAAAAGGATACCTAGTAGCTTCCTTGCTCCTAGTAGCGATGCCAGGAGCCCCTAGTTGCGTCCTTGCTCCTAATAGTATGGCCAGGAGCCCCTAGTAGCGATGCCCTTGTTCCTAGTAGTAAGAATGCTCCTAAGACTGAAAAAGCGAGAACCTGCCACAACTTCACATCGGAAGAGCTTGGATCGCAAAGGATGTGAGTGTTCACCTCAAGAGGATTGAGGATTGTAGTAAACGATCACCATAAGGAACTATTTCTTTGCGCATTGAGGAAACCGCAACAACCAGGCAATGACCACCATTGGGCCCAGCCTCAGACACCGCAACAAGTAAACACTCAAAAAACAAAGACTCGGTTCTCGCCTGGCAGCTGTTGGTTGCTTTGATCTGCAGATCTTCCAACATAACGGCTAAAGCGATATTTCCTTCCAGAATCTTGTGAAGTGAAGGCACAGGAGCAGCGAGTTGATATAAAGCATCTAGGACGCACAAAGCAAGGAAACGTCTACTTGCAGCTCTCCTTTGGATAGCCTTTGAAGACCTCAAGCCCAACAATGTGCAACTGATGTTGCTACTTTAGCCTTCTCTCCATGTTTCAAACTGAAATACACTCAGGTTCTGACACCTTTGGTCATCACCAGTATTTCGAATTTCAGTGGATGTTTCACGGTCGTAGTCGATGACCTGAACAAACAGCACCACAAGTTATATACTTGCAACACTGTATGAACGTGAATGTTGCTACATTGAATTTTGGAACCGCCTGCTTGTCAACTCGGCGGAATCGAGTAGTTTTGTAAAAAGTCGCACAGCCTGCAACAAAACTCATGCACACTTCTTCCACTCTTCCTCTTCAAGATTGATTCAAACCCGCTCCAGCCTTCTGCTGTGTACTTCCCACGATGGAAGATTGGATCCTGCAGACCAGCACGTGCGTCTGCCAAAGGTTTCATATTCATTGTGTCTTGTTTCATTGCATTTCGTCTTCTTCCACATGGTGCGGTCCCGCTTCTTCTGCTGAAAGACACCTTCGTAGCCTGCGTCCAACAGCTGGGGCCTTCCACGCCGATACCAAAGTCAAGTTGAAAGCACTAGGAACAAAGGGCATCGCTACTAGGAGCAAGGACGCTACTAGGGGCTCCTGGCATCGCTACTAGGAGCAAATAGCTACTAGGAGCAAAGCAGAGAGCTCTTTGACTTGAAGACATCTAAAGGGCCTGACACTCAAGTGGCTAAACATTCAGATCTCTTCGGCGGGTAAATTTTGCTATGGCATTGGCGTTTGTTGTCGTGTTCCTTATATTGCTGCCGCTGTCCCCACGCAATTTATATCAGGCACTGAGGTGCAAAAACGGCACCAAAACGGAACCGCAGAACCAATCAAGGATTGCAATACTACAAGGAACCGAATAGAGATGTTCGCAGCGCACCGCAACCCGGCTCCTTCACCCTGAACCAACCCCACGCCACTTTGTCATCTTCCAGAGGCAACAATTGGCCGACAAGTTGAACTCAACTACAAACCGCCAATGCAATGATTGGGAACACCAGCCAAGCCCATAGAGCCACTGCCAGGTGATCAAATTCATCTTGGTCAGGCAATAACCCTCACATGCACAGGCTGACCCTACAGCCCTACAAAGGGTCGTCTCAAGATTATATTGTCGGTTCCGAATGGAGCCCGAAGTCCCTGCGTAGCAAAGCACAAGCAGATTTGCTGTGAAGAACAGCAGGAATTATGCAGGCAACAAGAATTCACCTACAGTAAGTAATACCCGAACCAAATCACAAAAGTTGGCCTGAACCATTCGTCGTATGCATCCTTCTGGACCTTGTTGCTTGCATGAAACATGAATTCAAATTAATCGCTGATGACAGTTCTTTCCATCTCTTCCTTCTTTCCATCTCTTCCTTCCTTGCTTCCTTCCTTTCCTTTCCTTTCCTTTCCTTGCCTTGCCTTGCCTTGCCTTTCCTTTCCTTTCCTTTCCTTTCCTTTCCTTTCCTTTCCTTCTTTCCAAGATAGAAAGGCCAAGACCTCTTGTAGTGTGATGATGTCAACTGCCATCGACTTGAGCTCCTAGAGGATGGAAATGTGATAGTGGATCTGTCAAGCACTTTCACCCTCGCCTTCATGATCAAATGCTTCCGCCAGGTCCACGAGAGGGCCCACTTCTCGCAATAAGGATAGACCTTCATTTCTGCGGCTAGATGAGGCTTATCAGCATCTGCAGATTCATCTTGGATCTTGAGCTGAGGCGACTGCAAATTCATTTGCATAGAGGTCAGCCAGAACCTCATGACAATTTGTGCAGCTCAGGATGTTCAACTTGACCCCAAAAGGCAATTGCTGGAAGGGAAGGAGAGCTGAATTCATTGCATTCAAGGGATTTATATATGAGCAAAGATATTGTAAAATTACCTTTTAAAGGGTAAGGTAAGGGCCCCTTAGATCAAACCCTATTCGCTCACCCATCCTGGTGGAGTTTAACCAATCCACTCTTAGATTCTCTTGTCGTTCAAAAGGATCTGGCAAGCATGTTGTGGGTGCAATATAGATTCAATCGCTGTGTTTGGCAAGGTCGGAGCATTCCAATTCATCACTTTGAACTGCTTGTTCAGCCAATCTGCCTCGGCGAGAAGCTTCCGAAGCGAATTCCCACGCAATCCCATTCCATCAGTTTTGTCTGTCAATTCCCGGAACTGTGGTACCCTGTCCACTGTGCCTACTCCAAGAAGCGTGGGCATGCATCTGCAGCACATGCATCTGCATTACAATGATAGTTGACCAATGGACTTAGGTGGCAATCTCAGGCCGACTCATGGATTTGACCACGTTGGTTGGTCAGAGTTCGACGGCAGCGTGCCTAAAAGTCTGGGCCAACACGTCAGGCACAAATTGAAATGCAATGCAGAATGTGCGATTCGAGTCATGCTGCCTCCTGAGGAGTTGGGATGACGGTGCCAGTTGTAATGGTCATGCCGTCTTTCTCTGACTTGATGCCGCCCTGGCAGCTTCTTGACTTGATCAATAACACTCCAAACGGCAAAGTTGATGTGGCAACCGGTGCTGTTTGAAGTCATGCATCAACTGGTTTCAGCGAAGACATCCAACCTTGGTGAGTGGTGTTATTTGCAGACGCAGCGGGCGATCAATGTCCTGCAAGCAGAGCGAAATGTCTGGGTTTGCCAACTCTTTCGACCTCTTCATGACCACTATTGTCGCTATTGTTTTCTCAATCTCTTGCGCTCCGTCTCACCATGTGGCTCCTTTGTGCTCTTCACTTTACTAAGGTCGAGTGAAAGGAGTCGTTGCAAAAGACACGGTTTTGCGATAAACCGCAGCATCTCTCTATTTCCATCGGTCACACGATAGATACTCTGCAGCTTGAGTTTCATCACTTGTCCTCTTTGCTTGGGCAGTAGGACCGAGTTGTGGCCTTGTGCATTAGTCAGTACAAGGAAAATTGCAGTATTGAACTCAAGAATAGCGACACGCGCATGATCATGACCACATGAACCAAAAAATGAATCACTGAATTCCAAGTTTAAACACATTTGCAAACAACAAGTAGTTCCAAAGGCAGTGACCACTTCCACCCACTCAGCAAGCATTTCCTCCAAGCTCAGAAAATGGGATGGTCAGAAAGGCACCATACTTTCACAAATATCAAGCCAGTTCTCTTCAAACTTCAGGCAAAGCAAAATTCACACGTAGTGACGTAGTCAGTGTTCATGTGGGTAGATATGCGCTTTGGACCTTCGTGCTAAGTGATGATACAAATAAAGTGCCCGTCTCATACTCTTGTGACTTACCTCAACCTTTGAGGAGCAGCAAGCTCAAAGCACGTCCTTGTCTACATCATCATCATCCTTTGTGCCCCACCTTGGTTGTCGCTCCAACGCACGAGTGCTGCTGTGGATCTGTTCTACACCGAACGAATTCCCTCTTGTACAGTGAGTCCCAAGTTCACCTGACTGCGCCACCACCAGTTATACTATTACCATTATGTACTTATGTATATATAACATAAAATATCATATCTCACTGAAAACCAGAAAGCTGTAAGCATCCAATGTGTCTATTGTCTCCCTTCCTCTCTGTCTCTCTTCCTCCTTCCTTCTCTCCTTCCTTTCCTTCTTTCCTTTGCTTCTCATGCTTCCGGGTTCACACCTTTGTCTGTCCGTCTGGCCTCCTCTCTCCCTCCCTCCCTCTCTCTCTCCCCCCCTTCCCCCCCCCCCCTCCCCCCCCCCTCTCTCTCTCTCTCTCTCTCTCTCTCTCTCTCCCCCCCCCCCCCCCCCCCTCCCTCTCTCTCTCTCTCTCTCTCTCTGGACTGTTCGGATGAAAGAACAACTCAGGTCCATACTGCGTCTTGGGGATGGTGTTGTACCCCTTCAAAAAGCACTCCTGTGCTCAAGGAGCAAACTGGGGACTTGATAAAAGATTATTGCCTTTCAGATCTTCAGACTCTCACCAAAAGCACAGCATGTTTGTCCTTCGAACAATAGCAGAGGTGAGTCTTTGCCTCACAAACGAGAACAAACTCGCGAACATCCATGGCTGCGCCGATATTTGTTATTTATATATATATATACATATTATCTGAGTCCAGCACTACATCTTTGATCATGGACTGCTTGTGAGGGTGGTAGAAGCAAGGCCTCGGTTTGTGCCAGTCCGATGATTGATATCTTGCCTCACCTGATATATGTTGTGAGGAGGCCGCTTCACGACTGGCCCTCGAAGCCATCGATATTGCACATGTTGGCCTCGATTGTGTTGCATCCCCATCAGACTCACCTTGCTTTCAACCTTCAAGTGAAGTACTTTCCGCTGGGCGTCCTACAGTTTCCTTTGTCTTCAAACTGCCTTCCGTCTCTGTCTTTCAGTCCGATGTAGACAGGCACCTGAAAAAAGACTGTCATCGTCCTTCCTGGAAGGCTCGCCGCTATGCTGGCCTCTGAAACCACCACTGGGCGGTGCCCACGAACAAGTTCAGCACGGACCACGGTCACAAGCGGCTGTTCCTGGCATTTGACTTTAGCCACACGGACCATGACCACGGTCACAATGCGAGAAAGTCAGAAAAGTCCCTGCAGGTCTGGAACTGATCCTTCTGAGGCAGTCCTCATCCGATGCAGATCTGCTGCTGCTTGAGCCTGCCAAGAAATGCAGTACCTACAATGTCCTCCCAAGCAAACATTCACACTAGTGCGGCCACTGGAACATTCTGTGCAACCTGATATGTTGACGGGCACACCTCGCTCGGGACTGCGCCCAGGTGCCATGAGGATTTCCTGAGCAAAATGGGTGGGTTCAGAGGCCTTACAGCACCAAACACTCACTCATCTGGCACATGTTTGTCGTTGCTTTCATGAGGCTGTGCATGGAATGCACAAGCAGCTCACTCTCCTTGCCTCAACAATGCCCGATTGATGGCTGCAAGGATTCTCAATTCAGATTCTTGCTAGAATGCAGCAATGTTAGAATTGGGTCCTATTCAATGAACTCCAATTTGTTGTGATCTAGCATTAGCTGGCCAGCTGGTAGGCTTGTGCATGACGTGGCCAAGTGAACTCTTTGAGCCAATGAATGTGGGCCAAAGTGTTTTTTGGTTTTCTAGTGTTTGACCAAGAGAGATTGCAAAGCTGCAGCATTCAACGATGAGAACCAGGAAATGTGGCTCTTGGGTGACAAGCTATGGGTGACAAGAAAGGAATGTCCCTAACCTCTGGAAAGTCTCATTTGATAGAGGCCATCCCGGACATGCCTGGAATGTCACCAGGCTTTGTCCGTCTGCTGTGGCAGATCTGATCTTGGACCGTTTGCCACACTGGCAGGCGCGAGGCTCAGGTGGCCTCATTTCCGGGAACCCCCTTGGATTGTAAGACCTCTTCATTGCCGCTCTGCCAACCTGATAGCGATGGCCTCCAACCTAGGTGGCTTCATTTCCGTGAACTTCTCGTTGAGTTGTCATGGGAACGCACCTGAGGCGAACCCTTGGCAGAGCTGTCACCCGAACGTCGGGTCCCTGCACTTCTCACAGAGTTGTCCTTGTCTCCACGGCGAGATGCCCACTCTCTAACGGTTTCCACAAACCTCTCAGCATCTGCCTTGATTTCCTTTGGCACATTGGCTTCCACCAAAGCTTTCACCCAGCAGGTCTTAACCCATTCCATAGATAGTCTGCGTTCGAAAAGAGTATGGCCAGTGCTCTTGTCGAAGGTGAAAGTGTCACATTTGATGACATTGAAGCAAGTGCCGTATGGGACGTCCAAAGTCATGATGACGCTCTCAAGCAAGACCCTGGAGTCATCTGAAACAACATGCCATGTGGTAGTTACACGAGACTCCTTTGGGCACATAGGTGCTGGAGGCACCGGGACTCTCATCTCCATCGAGCGCAGCTTTCCCTTCACCTTCGAACCAGTGCCTGCAGCGCTGCCTTGAATCCAGGGAGCCAGCTCAATGTTGTACGCTTTCAACGAGTCCTGCGACCGTCCATTCTCAAAAAGAAGGTTGAAAAGGCAAATAAAACCTTATATAATTGCACTAATGAAGACTATGCTTCCTAGGTTTGGCAGCTTCAAAACAAGTCCTTCAAGAACATGGACATCAAGTGGCCATGGCCTTCCCAATCATCGCTTTCCAAATCTGCTTTGATGGCCTCCAAAGGCAAATTCCCCAAATCCACCTCAAGAATCTGCTGGGGAGGCGAGACTCCCTTCTCCTGCATCAAGGTGGAATTCAGCCGCCGTGACTTCCGCGACCCTGGGCTATCGTCTCCAGCAGGTTCAGGCAAGAAGGTGGGCTGCCACCTCCTCCGGGTGGAGTCACATAGAAATCTATATTCATAGAATAATCTAGCATCACTGCACTAGCATCACATTATATACTATGCCACGTTTGCTCTACAACATGAAACAAATGTCTGTGAACAATTTGCATGGAACCATGACCAAATCCATTCAATTTGAGCCGTTCAAGATCGAACTGTCGTTTCCCACCTCCGGCGGACATGAGAGAATCCACGCACGTATTCGCTCCATTTCTGTGGCTCCAAATAGAAATCGACTGCATATTGCCATCCATCACCATCGCTGGTCTCGTCAATGACTACATGCCATTGACATGGCCTCCGGCGTCCAAGAAATTTGACCTCCCTGATAGGAGGCTCCTCAGATTCAGCTGCTTCATCAATATCGATGTCTTCCGGAATGAAAGGATGCGGGATGTAGTGCTCATCGATGGCCATCCACTTAATGGCTTTCTGGTAATCATGGGGAAGAAAAGGCGCGCGCCAATCATTATGCCAAATGGTCGTGCGCCTTTGGAGTTCCCACACTAGGCTGAGCTCTTCAAGATCAGCAATCATCTCTTCAGGAGTGATAGCATTCATTCGTGCACGAGGACCAGATGACAGAGCCTCTCCAATGCCTGGTGATGTTGGGTACTCCACTGGTTCTGAGTTTGCAGATGGTACCATGTCAAACAAACCGGTTCCATTGAAGTATGAGACACAGGAATGTAGCTGGGCTAGCATCCCTACATCAAAAATCATCAAATCCAACCTGACCACTTTGACTCCATCTATTTCAATGGACTGCTTCAGGCAAATGCGCACGGGATGCATAGAGCTGTCAGATTGAATCAATCGAGCCCACTCCAGTTGCGACCAAGAGATTGAAAGCCGAGCTTCCATTCCGAGAACTGATGACCGAAAGCATAGGCGCTCTGATGTGATATAAAAGGTCCCCGGATGGCGGAAGGTCTCGGATTGCACTAGACAAGGAAGAGCCATGACTAACAACTCCCCTGTTCCAATCGAAGCCGAGAAATACTCCAAGAAATCCTCCAAATCTTCACCTTCAGCGAGCCGAGGGAGACCTAGTTCTGCCAGGAGCTCTTCCGGATCGGTGTTTTTGAAGGAAATGGTCGAGGTTGAGTGGAGTTGCTTTTGGGGCAACAGCCATTTTTCAACAGCTGCCAAATGCCTGGCCGCAGCACGCAGGTGCTCTTGTGGCGCCGAATGATCGTTCAAGGCTGCTGCTTCGCGATGAAGCCGAGCACACTTCTCCCGGGCAGTGCGCAAAGCTGTGGCGGCTCGCTTCTTTTTGTTGATCAGCCTTTAGGGGAATCGAACAAGACGGATGTATTTGATGCGCTGTTCAAGTTTCAATCCGGTTGGTATTCGCATGGTACTGCACTCGTTAATTCGCTTGAGCCCTTTGACATGGGCTTTAACATCCCAACATCATGAAGACCATGTGGGAGTGTCCTGCATGCACCCAGTATGTAAGACTTCTGTCATGCTGCTGGCAGCTGTGTCATTTTGAAAATCAACATCTATGGTACATCATCTCTTGTAGGCGTGTAGTCCTTGTTCTGTCTGTCATTGTCCAACGATAGCTTTGTGGAGGTAGTAGGATGCGTGTGATAGGTCTCGATCAGTGAAAAATATCGCTGATGAATCAACACAGTCAGTCGAGTTGAGAGAAAAGATAGACTTAGGCACAAAGACGATAGAAAAAGAGAGCTATAGAGAGAGAGAGAGAGAGCGCTTAAAAGAGCGCAAACTCCGTCGGCAACTCAGTCCTTGAGAGGCCCACCCAAGTCAAGCAGCAATCGCTAGAGCAGCAAGGCTCCGACCTTCTTGCTCGGGATCCGCATGGAGCCCTGCACCAGCTGAGATCGGCACACTTCTCAATGCCAAACCATCGCATCCCGCAAGGAGAAGCCAAGCAACTAGAGGAGCTTGTGAACTGAGTCCCGATTTGGATCTTGGCAATATGCTAAAGGCTGTCATCTCCTTTGCTTCGGGCTATGATTATTTGGGGGGACTGAGAACCAGTCAAGTGCCATGCAGTTTCTTCTTGAGCATCATGCCGAGTTAAGGATGAAAAGATTGGGCTGGTCACTGATTACAAGTCGGGAAATCTCTCTATATAAGCCTGATGGAGTGTGGTAAAAAGGAATTGTCAGCTAAGCTCCACATATGTCAAACAAGCAAAAGCCAGCAAAGCGACAGACTTTTTCAAAACAATGGCAGAGCAACTGCTTTTGCTCTGGCTTCTGTGTCTGCCAGATATGGAAAGTCCCGGCTCATTGATGCCCTTGGCGAGCTGGCCTTGGGGCTCAGCCAAGCTGAAGAGCCGCAGCAAATGCTAAAAAGTATTGACAAATCGTAGTTTACTGTATGTACCTCTGTGTGCTTCTATACACTTCGATAGAAACACTTCGTCTTTCTTTTAGATCTGCTTCGGCACTCACTCAAGCTTTTTCCTAAACGTGCCATGCCCGTTTCTACGTTTGGGAAAGGCGAACTATGAATATAGCTGCGACGCATTTATGACCCATCTGCTAGCCCTGCTCGCCTCAGTGTCGGCATCCAATCCGGTGCTGTCCTCTTCTTGGCCTTTGAGCTCGGAACCCAGGGAACAAAGAACAACAAAGGCGTGCAGAATATGGTTCAAGATCACAAAGGTCGTTCAACGAGACCATTTCCCTTAGAGCGCGTCTGGATGTGCAAAGCCTAGATTAGCTGGTCTGATCTGAGCAAGAGCTTCCTGTTCCTGCGGCATGATGATTTCACTGAAGCTCATGAGTGTTGTAGAGGGTCACTGTCAGGGTAACAGTTAGTCCTCTTCGTCAGAAGCAGCGACTTTGGCATTTGCTTTGACAAACACACTATTCAAAGCTGCAGCTTTGGCAGCAGGTGCATCACCAGTTACTACCTGCGACAAGTCAAGTCTGACTGGAAGCAGTATTTTGCCTCTATCAAAAATGCTGGGGCCCGACTTGGCGTGTCTCCTTCTCCCTGACTTCATGTTTCTCCTCCAAGGTCATCCACTGACAGCTGCGCCTACTTTGGAAAAGGAATGCCTGCAGCAAACAACAACATAACATTTTACAAGTCTATAGTTTGGTTGACTCAAATTCATGCATAAATTTGTTGGTTCTTTCTATTTCAATTTGTCTTCTTACTTCGGGAAACAATTCGAATAGGAACGGTTTGAAATGGCTCCTGAGGCTCGATCAGAACCTCCTCCTCCTGCTCCTCATCACCGTCCTCACCGCTCAGCCTCGACTCCTCTGGCTTCGGCGACATTTCAACATGCCTCATTCTCGACTTAACTCCTTTGACCAACCATCCATCTTCACTATTCTTTATTGGAGTCAATATTTGTTCCCCAAACAGTGTGGACACACTTAGGGGTTCTTACGGTAGGTGTAAAGCAGCTGATGCTTAGATCGCTGAAGCGGGCGGGCGTGGACGGCTAATTCGTTGCTATTGACAGTGTACTCATGCCTCTCGACATCGTCAATGTGCATTTGGACTGCGCAGGCTCGCGAAATCTGCGTGGGCGCGGCGGGTGCTTCTAGCGACAGCGCTCTCAGCACTTGGTGAACCTTGAAGTGCAGATTTCGTGGCAGGCACAGCACTTTGTCAACCTCGAAGTGCAGATTTTGGCGCAGCGCACCACTTTGTGCTCTCAGATGCTCACTCTCTCACCCTCACTCTCACTCACTCACACACGCTCACACTCACACTCACTCTTCACTCACACTCACATTCACACTCGCACCCACTCACACTCACATTCACATTCAGACTTACACTCACACTCACTCACTCACTCACTCTCCCACTCTCACTCGCACGCACACTCACTCTCACTCTCACCCACACTCACTCACACCCACCCACCTTCACTCTCACTCTCACTCACACTCACTCACACTCACACTCACTCTCACTGTCACTCTCACTCTCACTCACGCTCACACTCACACTCACACACTCACTCCCTCACTCCCTCCCTCGCTCTCTCCCTCTCCCACTCCCTCTCCTTCTCACCCTCACTCTCACTCACACTCACACTCACTCCCTCACTCCCTCGCCACGTCACCATGAACCCCACCTTCATCACCACCATCACCTCTCTGGAGCGCAAGGCGTCTAGATCTCTAGACTTTCTGCTTAAAGACCTCACACACACTGTTTGGAGTCTCTTGCCAGGATCATTTGCTTCACTCAGACGATGTCAGCACCTTTAAGTCAACTAACAAGTCATCAGGCCACAAAACGAAGTTGCAAAGGTGCCGCTGTCCTTCTCACTCTGTTGCTTCTCCTCATCTTTCTGCTCCGGCTCTGTGTGCTCCAACCTCACATGAAATCTTCCCTTCACCTGATTGACAGCCTGATTGATATACTTTGAGGCAATTTTTGCGGCATTAGTACGTGCAGGTCCTGCCTCATCTCAGGTGTTTCTTTTGCGGGGTTGGCATGGCTCTCTTTGCCAATTATCTTGGAGTTCTTCGCCTTTCAAGCTAGCTCCAAAAGCTGTAGAGGTCAAGAGAAAGCACCAAGTGTGCGTGCGCTCAGCAATCATCGGCACTTTTTGATTAGTTCGCAATTAAACAATGTAAGCTGGTCTAAACTCTTCTGAATGCAGCTTCTGAAGAGAGAGAGAGAGAGAGAGAGAGAAGTATAGGCAGAAATACCTACTCTGGCCACTTTGAGCAGCGGAAGATCACCACAACCTCTTCGGGCCGCGTCTAAACTGTTGAAAGCTGTCTCCTCTGCAGTTGCAGTTGGGCACGTGCTGGCTACCGATTTCATTCACTTCCCAGCCAGGTCACTGACCATCGCAACCAAGACCTAGCTCCAAAACGGGTAAGAAACTGACAAGAGCTCCTAGCATTGAGCCGTCATCTTTATAGAGCTACTTAGCTGTGTGTTCCATTTCAAGGTTCAATGAGAATGTCATCGTGGCGGAACCTAATCATTTGGAGTTGTCAGGGTCACCTGCAAAGGCAACTGAACGAACCAAAAAGGGCCAATGGTAGAGACAAAAGCATGAGTACTTATCGCCTATACTCTGAAAGTCTTTGTGAGTTCAAAGTGTCAAAGTGATGAGTTTCACGATCTACATCATTCGTTTCAAAAAACCTTCGCGTACTCCAAAGAACAGCAAACCTGACAGTGCGAAGAACAAACTGCACTTGGGCTTGAGGCTCGGCAAGGCCCATGGGCAATGTCACCGGAAGCAAGATCGAAGGTGGAGTTCCCTGTCAGTGGAAGCAATGGCAATGTTCTCAATGATGGCGCTTTCTTGGTGGTAACGTGCAGGGACATTCAAAGCACAAAACTTGAAAACTAAACTAATCTGGAACACCACCAGGGTACCATCAGTCAGCTGTGCTCACATTGCTACCATGCTTCAATTGAAAGAGCAGCTTGGGTCTGCAACAAGTACCAAAATCCATTGTATCATGCCCGTTGCATGACAGCAAGAGCTTGCGGCTGCACCAACTAGTTGAGAAGTTCACTCTTTAGCTTCCGATTAATACTAGGAACAAGAAGCTAGTAGGGGCTCCTGGCCGTACTACTAGGAGCAAGGACGCTACTAGTAGCTCCTGGCCGTACTACTAGGGGCAAGAAGCTACTAGGGGCTGTCATATGAAGTCTTGTCGGTGAGTGACAGACCGACATTGGTCCGATCTTTGGAGTCGGGTCAGACCAGTCGGGGCTTCACAGGCTTTCTGCAAGGCTTTCTACAGTCATCCAATCAACCACTTGTTTCTTTCCCCGCTACTTAATGAAGTGGGTGCCTACTTAATCAAGTAAAGGAGAAGTAAGCTAATATATATGAGAAGTTCGCTCCTAGCTAGGACGCAGCATAGCTCACGCACTAATGATTTGGTTCCTAGATTTTGAGGGAAACTCAGGATGTTTGATGCAAGCTTGCCAGGCCCACCCCTTGATAGATCTGGAAGTAAATGCCTGCTGCTGCAAGGCCTGCAGCTGCTCCAAAAATGTTCCAACGCGTTCACATCTAAGTGTTGGTATAATTGATCTTGTTCTCCTTCTCCTTCTTCTTCTCCTTCTTCTTCTCCTTCTCCTTTTTCCTCTTCCACTGTCGTTCCTTCTTCTAAGCATGTAGAAGCCTAAGAGATCGGCCCCATCCAACAAATTCATCAGCCAGGGAATCCTGGCGAAGCTACGTATGACCTGATTCATAGGTGACAGGATGAGCTCGTCCTCCAGCACCAGATTGGTCATCCAATTGCGGCTTTGCAGGAATGGTCTCAGAATCAGGAACAGGCTTCGGGCTTCTGGGTCCATAGCAATCTTGATCACAGGGGGACCAAGGTTCAAATATCAATGACGAAGGCCAGCACATAGCTCACAAATGTACCACCACTAAAGAGCTTGGATCTTGGTGAACGACACAACAATAGAAGCATCGGGCCCATAGTTTCAATTACAAATCAATACAAAGTTGAAACCTCCAAGGTCAGAAAATGAGAATTCGGTTAAGACCCCATTTGTACTGGGTGTTTGCAACTGTATTGCTTTCAAATGGAGTTTGTCCAATATAATTAGCAGGCATGAAGCCTGCAGACTTTTCAAGCTATGCGGTAAGTCTGGCACAGAACGTAGGTCCAGCCGCTCCTTCAGATTGAATGGCAAATCCTTGAGCCTTGAATCATTGCTGATTGTCTGATTGTGTACTTATATGGTAGATTCGCTGGTGAGAGAGAGAGAGAGGCAGAAAGGAGCATCTTCATCAAGGAGGAAGAGGGGGAGGGATACCGGGAGGCTTGCAAATAGACGAACATGCACATGTACATCCTCAGGCTCGACATTTACCAGGTCCATTCACATCAATGGGTTGGATCTTTGCCAGAATGGAAACTTGGCCGGTTGCAGTCCTGCTTGCCAGCATTCCTCCAGCCACTCCACTCTGCACTGCTGAAATGACCTGCACCATTCCAGGCATGCAACATGAAGGAACATATGTGCAAATAATGCTTTAGTTCTGCAGTATACAGCGGTTGCAGCAAAGAGTTGAGGCCTAGACTCTTTGCAACTTCCATGCGAGACCTGTTGCCACCACCTCCGGTCACACTGCGAGCAAATGGCCAAATGGTTGAGACGGGAAACTAGGAATGACGGTGATTCATAGCACTTCATAGCAAAGTTGCCTTGCAGGTCAGGTTGATGGTTGGTTCAATCCACTGTCTGTACCTTGTTGGATTGAATGATCTTTGATCCCTCGCTCTCTGGCCAACAAGAGCAAACCATATTCGCCTAAGCCCCTGTCTCTGGAGGTGTGATAGCCAGCGCACTGGGCCTGCACAGTAAAAAAACAACCATACTGTACCTTTACTTCATTTAGAAATTGTCGAAAAGTCCGAAAGGAATGCAAAATTCCCATGAGCTTACCCTGCATACATCTAATAAACCATTACTCATTTGCACAATCGCACATACATGAGCTAGCTAAAGCGAGAGCAAGTTGGTCAAACACCATTCCGGCAGGCTGGCGTCCGTCTCAAACCAACGCGACTACATACAGTCTCTTCTCATTTGTGGTTGCGAGTCAAAACCTTGTACTACAGGTAAGCGTTCGAAGTATGAACAGTCTAAACTAGAAAACACATAGATATATATATACAGATTGTTCCCCGAACAGTGTCGACACACTAGGAGTTCTTACCGCAATGATTAAGGATGGGCTTGGTCAAGGGTGCTCCAGAAAATTTGTTGCGACTTATGAATGTACGGCACATTCGTGCCTCTCAAAGTCTTCAAGTTGCATTTCGACTCACTTTTCGTGGCAGGCGCAGGAGATCAAAGCAGTTGTACTTCGATGTGCAGATTTGTGCCAGGTGTAGCTCTTTGTCCTGAAACTTGGTGGCTTCACAAGACTTGAGGGTTGAAGTTCTCGCTGGTTGCCTCTGTTCCATATGTCAAGTGGCGCCGCAATGCTATTGTCAAGTGAATTGAATTTCTGGCTGCTGAACGCAAATTTCAGTTCTTCCAGTTGTCTTGGGGGGGCATCATCCTGCTGAATAGCTGACATGCCACATAGCACCACTGGATTGAGTTTGGGAGCAGGGAGCTGGAAAACGTTCAATGGGCTGGCCATCCTGCAGTCTGATTGCCACAAATGCAATATATATATATAGATAGATAGATAGAGAGAGATTATAGAGAGAGATATATATATATGTATAGAAAATAGTGGAAATGGCCATGGTTCTTTTGGGTTGTTGTCGCTTTTGGCCCTGCTGCATTCGGCAATTGGCTGCAGGTGCAGGACTTTGTGCACCTCATGGCAGGGGCAGCACTTTCCAAAGATCATGTGCAGATTTCGTATCACGCACAGCACCACAGTGTTTGGTACCCTCCCGGCTTCTGATGGACAACCCGTGGCATCAATCACCATCATGATCACGGATCATCATCACCAACGGCTCAACTTCATGGACGGCAACATAGCTGTAGGCTGTCCTCCCGAACACTCCCACCTTCGTCCCCCACTGGAAAAACATTCAAATAGCCATGCGTGAAACAAATGCCAGGTGCGGTCATTGGCAGACTTAGTCGACTGCTCATGCGTTTGCTCGCATATGCGTGCTCCCACGCATGTGCTCTCACGCACGCGCTCTCTCATATCTGTACTTCAATATGTGTGCCCTCGTGCGTTTGCTTTCATACTTGTGCTTTGACGTTTTGCTTTCATATGTGTGCCTTCAGTCTGTGATCTCATTTATGTGCTGTTGACTCTGGACATGGTCGTAAGCCTTTGTTTTCTGCTCGTAGCTTCTGTGCCTGTTCGCAAGGAGCTCGTAGAAGGATTACACAGCACCAGCATCACAAACAAAAAAGGTCCGCCATTTCCTTCGCATACTTATACTTTCCTTTGTCTTTATATATGCCCTTTGCCACTGGTTTTGGGCCTCTTGCCTGGATAATTTTAGCCTCATGCTGTGTCTGTGTGTCTGGAACCCTTGGAATCAAAGGGAACCTGTCGGTTCTACAAAACGCAGGGGGCACCTGAAGCAGAGATAGGGCGGGTGCGAAGACACCTATCTCTTGCTTGTGATATCGACGGGAGACGTCCTGTCAACATACCTGCAGTTTTACTTGAGAACTCCCCACTTGGTCCCGTTCCTAACTCGAACAAATTTCTGGTCGTTTGCAGCGGTTCCTTCACTGCAGTCACGAGTTTGCTGCCTTTAAGATGTACGAGTTCAAAGCTTTGGAGGTTTTGGAGGCTTTCATGTTCAAGCGGCTTTACATACCTTACTCCTGGTTTCTTAGGCTTTCATACATAGGTGGGCGTGTGGCGAGTGGCTTTCAATTCCGCACGAATTATATAGTGCGTCCAAGCTAAGCCCAGAACGCTAGTGCTTTTGCTGCCAAAGGCCGAAAATGATCTCCTCAGGACTGTAGGTAGCTGGCGATGGCTGAAAAGACTGACTGGTGCGTAAAGATTCAAGCATTCGCTCACTCACCGCTTGTCGACACACTGGAGATTCAATTGCTTGGGAGATCCTTTGCTTGATAGACTACTGTATAGAAGTCGAACACATCTCATTGCCAGCTCCCTTGAGAAACATGACTGGTCGAGGGCGTTGCCAATGGAATGTGCGAGGGCCACCGTCCTGGAGTGAGTAAAGCACCGACACAAGAAAACTAAGAAAAGAAACCGCATATTGCTGTAGACCCGTCCTAGCAAATTTATACTTGAGCGCCATCACCATTCCCTAAATGAAGGTCAAACTCTGGACACAAAATGACACCAAGCAGACCAAGCACATGAGAACCTCTAAGGTGGGAAGAAAAGCGAAACAAACCGCTGGGTGTGGGATCTTTTTCTGACGGGACACCATACAGCCAGCCCAGATGCTTCTGACGGTCACCGAAATGTGTTCAGGATCGACCTTAAAGCACCAAACACGATCATTGATTTTTGTTGCTTTACAAAAAGCAAACTGTGAGACCTACTGTGCGCAACAGGAGCTTCATCTTCTCCAAAGGAGGGAGGCTGTGACCAAGCTCCTGCCAAACACTCATGCAGGTCCACCAATTCTGCCAGTCCTATGGGTCAACACTGACTTCGGACTAAAAATGATGAACTTTGCTGAATTGTGAGGTGTTTGAAGCATCAGGGTATACCGGTATACTCAATATTCTTGTCAGTATCACAGGATATAGTACAAGCGATCGGTTGGTTAAAAGCTACAGGATGGCCACCACTAGGGTGCAAATCCCACAAAATGTGGAAAGTAATGGATCTCCACAAAGTCTATGCCGCTACCCAGGACTTCCAAAACAACACGTAGACTTCGGAGCTAATCTTTCACCTGAGCTAACCTTACTTAAACACGTGTCTTGCAGCAAGCACGTGGATTTGCTGCAGGCGAATCAACACCTGTAGTGTGCAGAAACACTACGGCCAAACCCTGGGTCTGCTACAGTTGGACCTACTCTCATTGCGGTCACTACTCCAACTGGAGGCTATCTTGAAAACGAACCAAACGAAATCAAAAAGCCAGCAAACATGTATTTTGGAGTCGTTCAACGTGTGAAGGGGTTCTTGTGCACGGCCGTACTTGCCCTGTTAATCGCGCGCAAAACCAACACTTCTGTCGCTACATATACATATACACAGGCCTCGTACTCGGGCCCCCAACACAAGCAAAAAGAAAACAAAACATCGGTAGGCGTCCCCATCGAGCTAGCAGAAGGTGCCAAACTGTCAAAAGTCTATGCAGCAAGAAAGCTAGAAACTCGCAAACATTAAGGAGGTCGACATCAGAAAGAGAGCGCCTTCTCTTGCCGGGAGTTTGCTTCCAGCACTGCAATGGCATCATCCTGACAGTACAGGACGACACTGCAACGTGCGCGCGGGGCTAACGTTTAGGTAGAACAATGCGGAGGTTACATGGCACCTTGAGGTCCTGGAGGCTGACAAGCCTTGGGCCACATAGGTTTGGTTCAAGGAATGGTTTAGGACAGGTGTGTTTTGAACCACGACCATATGTATTATGTTGTATTTGTATGTACTTGTGAAATATTGAAGTGCGTTGCAAATGCGCTTGTTAAATAGGGCTTTCCTGTGCGCTGAATGTACTTCAGCTCCTGGCTCACGCTCGACCCAGTATGTGTTCAGGTTCTTATGGACCCAATTGCCAGAGCGAAGCCTGGACCGCAAATGGGAGGACCCACTGTACAAGTCTGGTTAGAAACCGCCAAACCATGTCAATCACCTGCGTGCGAGGCTTGACCTTTGCAGGCTTGCTTTTGTTTAACGGGCAGCTAATGCGAGACCAAACGAATGTACTTTGGCATTTGCCAGTGCCTTGTGCCTTTCACCTTCACACATTTCCACACCAGGCAACTTCATTTTGTGAGGTTGTTGCAAAATCACGTTCTTGTCCTGGAGCGACGTTTGTCCAACAATTTTTCCCACCGAATGTAGCCTCATCGGCCTCCACATTGCCCCTTCCAGAAGTCAATCTCTTTCTCCTTCATTTCCACCCGCTGCTTTCGCAGATCACAGAGCTGATCTTCCTTCCAAGTCCTCGATGGCTTCGTGATTGACTCCCAGAAGGTGGTGGATTGCCGGATGAGAAACCTTGTTGAGATTCATCAGCAACCGGGCAGCTTGGGTTGACAAGGGATATGCACCGAAATCAAGCAAGCAAAAGTAAGCACAAAATGCGCATAACGCAAAGCTTCTTGGGCAGCATATCTCGCACAACGTGCATGTGAAATCAACCTCACAGCCATCCAAAACGTTGAGGCTATGTTGATCCATCTTTCATTGTTTCTAAACAATGTCTCCATCCGCGCTGAATAGAGCGTCCATCCAGGCTTTATCAGTGCGCTGCGAGTTTCCAGTGCCTCGGGTAGAGCGTCCCCGCGCTCGGTTGGCGGTTATTGGCATTTGGAGCTTTTGCTCGCTCTCTGCGGTTTGAAGATGGGTCAACGTAGCCCCAACATGGCTCCAAAGTGGGCCTGCATAGCCCCAACATAGCCCACCTACTTACCTGCGCCTACAAGGCCTGCCTACAAGGCCTGCACCTGACGCCTGCACTGCTTGCCTGCCCGGCCCGCTCTTAGGCGTAAGCCTTGAAATCCAGCAATCTCGTAAGCCTTGAAATCCAGAGACTAGTTGCAACTACTCGCAACTATGTGGGTCCAGATTGATGACTAGTTGCAACTATTTCGCTTCTTGAGTGCATGTGTGTGTGTGTGTGCACAGGGAACCTGCTGGCTTTTAGTCTAATTGCAGGGGCGGGCAGCATCTATCTATGATCTTCTACATATGGCAAGGGACCAGTCCTGTACCTGCTTGAGAACACACCGACTCCACTGCTCCTCCCTTGTTTTCAGGTCGGCAAACTCTGCACGTGGCCGACGTTCTTGTCCACCGCTCGGCTCTCGATTTAGATTCTTGGAATCTCTCATGGAGGCTTGATGGAGGTCTCATGGCAGAACGCTTTGCATTAGCTGCTCCTGGTTTCTCGCTCTTTTATAACCTAGGTGGGCGTGTCGCAAGTGGCTTTCAGTTCCGTACGAATTTTCCCGAGTGTGTGTGTGTGTATATAGATAGATAGATAGATAGATAGATAGATAGATAGATAGATAGATA